CGGTCATCTACTTTCTCCCAAAAATCCACAAAAATATGGTAGAATCCCCTGGAAGACCGATTGTATCAGGGATTAATTCTGTTTTATCTAATCTCTCAGAATATATTGATATTTTATTACAGCCTACAGTTAAATTAATGAGATCTTATCTTAAAGATTCTATGACCCTTTTATCTTTTTTAAAAGATTTTAAATGGTGCCAAGATTATATTCTGGTCACTTGTGATGTACAATCATTATATACTATAATTCCCCACTCTTTAGGATGTGAGTCAGTTGAAAAAGTTTTAAAAAATTAAAGTTCTATCCCGGCTTCTCAAATAGATTTTATACTAGAGGGTATCCAAATGATTTTAACAAATAACTATTTTTGGTTTTATGATTCTTTTTATATTCAAAAAAAGGGCACAGCTATGGGAACTAGGTTTGCCCCCAGCTATGCTAACCTTTTTATGGCTGATTGGGAGTCATCGGCCATCTGGGGCGAGCATCGTTGGTGGGCAAACTTGGTTGCATATTTTCGTTACATAGACTTATTTTTTATTTGGAAAGGTTCAGAGACTTCTCTCAAGTTGTTTTTAGAATTTTTAAATGACAATGATAAAGGCATAATTTTAACTTCAAATTACAGTATCGATTGACTTTTTAGATCTCAGTATTTTTATCCAAGAAGGCAACATTCAAACAAAAACCTTTTTTAAAGAAGTCTGTACCAACACTATAATAGACCACACAAGCTGTCACCATAAACCTTGGTTAGACGGTATCCCAAAAAGTCAATTCCTTTGTCTTCACCGCAACTGTTCTCTAACAAATGACTTTAAAACTCAATCTACCTTATTGAAAATTAAGTTTTTAGAAAAAAATTATGAATCAGAAAAATTAAATGTAGCACTAGAAGAAGTTATAACTAAGGAAAGAAAAGACCTTTTAGTATATAAAGCCAAAAAAGAAGACCCCCCAAAATTACCTATTATTTTAGATTTTAAGAAGAAAAATAAAGATATAAAAAAAACATTAATAAACATTGGCATATTTTAAAACAAGATGATCTTTTAAAAAAACATATTCCAGACAAACCAAATATAATTTTTAGAGGGGCCTCAAATTTTAAAAAAAATTCTTACAAAAAATTATACTAAAACTACCACAAAAAAGAGAATTTCATGTCTAAACCAAAAGGTTTTTTTTAACTGTAATAGATGTATTGTATGTAAATCTTCAAATCCAAATGCCAGTACCAAAACGACCCATTTTTCTTCCACTATCACAAAAATAACATATCTGATTAAAGATTTCATAGGATGTAACACCAAAAATGTTATATATTTATTAGAATGTCCATGTGGTTTTCAATATATTGGCATGACAACAAGATGTCTAAAGATTAGATTGGCAGAACACTGTCGTAACATTAAAAAAGGTTACGACAACCATTCAGTGTCCAAGCACTTTTTAATTCATAATAAAGACCCCAGTTTTCTTAAAGTTACTGGAATAGAGAGAGTTGCCATGCCCTGGAGAGGAGGAGATTTGAAAAATATTCTGGGAAAGAAAGAGATGAATTGGGTTTTTCAACTCAAAACCCTATCTCCCCAAGAGCTAAACGTTGAATTTGATCTTTTTAATTTTTTATAAGAAAATATATATATATGTTTTACAATTCATTTCATACAATTTTTATTTTTGCTTTTATTTTTAATTTAATTTAATTTTTATTTGTTTTTCTCATTTTATTTTTACTTTTATTTTTATCTGTATTTTTATTTTTATATTTATTTTAATTTTTTTCATATTTATATTTATTTTTATTTTGTTATTATTATATTTTTTTGTTGTTGTTCTTTTTCCCAAGATTATATTTATTTTTTATTTTATTTATTTATTTTTGTGAGCTTACAATATAAAACCCCTTTTTTTCTCTCTATTAGGATATGCAGGTGGGTGGCCTCCATATGGGGCGCCATTATTATGTTGGATGCCCTCTGTGGTGGTCCAGCATATCCCTTTTTTACTTTATTGCCCCAGGTTTTCTCTCTGCGTATACTATATGGTTATTTCAGCCATCGATCCTCCTTGCCTCTTGAGTGCCCTCCCTTCAGTATGCTGATGCTGAGAGATGGGCGTGTATAATCGCGCCGGTCTCTCAGCCCCAGCATACATTTCCCAGAATGCTCGGATGTGCGATCATGTGATCGCGGGAGGTCGCGATCACGTGTCCCTCCGAGCATATTACATTTACAATCAGAATTACATGTAAAAAATGCTCGTTTTAAATTTTTGAACACACAGACACCTTTGGATCTTACCTAAGAATGTTCTTATACTTTAAATTTCTTTTTACTTTTTAAATTATGCATATCTTATTAGTGACATCATTTTGGCGCCAAAATTCGAACCCATATCTGTTTTTCTTAGTTTATATAAGCACTTATTGTACCAGGTTTTTCTCTATTTTAATGCCATTTGATAAAGCCCTGTGTGGTGAAACGCGTTCTGGCTGTTATTATATTGTTTTTTATACTGATATATTATATTTTAATAAAGGAATATTGGCTTCTTTTTTTGCCTATATATACCTTTTATTTCATTTTATTTTGTTTTGAATTACCTGGTCACCAATTCGAATTGAAGTACGTTACTACTCAAGAATCCTAGGTGGGGATTATACCACCTGCGCCCAGTGGTGTATCCTGGTTTTGTGCTGCCCTAGGCAGGACAAAACTCAGGCGCCCCCCTCCCCCCCGCGCCACCCCCACCCAACCCTTCCCCCCGCCCCACCTTCTAAATACACACACACACACACAGTCAGACACATACACAAACACACACACAAACAGTCAGACACAAACACACACAGTCAGACACAAAACACACACACACAGTCACACACACACACACACACAGTCAGACACAAACACACACACACAGTCACACAGACACAAACACACACACACACACACAGACACAAACACAACACACACACAGTCACACACAAACACACACACAGTCAGACACAAACACACACACACAAACACACACACACACACATTAACTTTTTTTTTAATTTAAATCCCCCCCCAACCTCCTTACCTTTGGGAGTGCTGGGGGGGGGTCTCTCTCCCCTGGTGGTCCAGTGGCTGCAGGGCGGGCGGCGCTGGCAGGCGGGCGGGCGGCGGGGCACTTCCCATGGCTGACTGCTCAGCTCCCTCGCCATGAGGCTGGGAGCCGGAAGATGACATCATTTCCGGCTCCCAGCCTCACTTTGCGGTGCGCGAGGGAGCTGAGCAGTCAGCTCATGGGAAGTGCTCCCTCGCCGGCCGCCCGGGATGTCAGTTAGCCGCAAGGCTAACAAGGCATTCGCCTTGGGCATTTGAGGGGCGGCGTTTTTTGCCGCCCCCTGAAAAATGCCGCCCAAGGCAAATGCCTTGTTTGCCTCGCGGCTAATACGCCCCTGCCTGCGCCATTACACTGAGCAGTAGTTCCTGCTCATATACATGTGAGTATTTTACCATTTTATTTGTTTTTAAAAACAATACAGTGAGCACTATATAGGTCTCTTATCTCTTCACATATTGAGGAACTTTTAAAGATCCCATCACCTATATCCGACCAGTGGGGGATTGACGCCACTGAATGTTGAGAATACTTGAGCAAGTTTCTTTGCTCATCCAAAGGTGAGTTTTTTACCTACTCACAGATTTCTACTTGTCCATTTGTCGATATTCTGCACTATTGGAGTTTTATATTATCTCTTTGTCCCTACAGCGCGACCTACATACCATTTTTTTTTGTCTGCAATCAATAAAGGTTCATTAGCAGTTTAAAAACTAGGAATTCTTATCCATGTAAAAGATTACTGTTAGCTGCAGGTTTACAGTCCCATAGCAGTATAAACACTATCCCTGTAAAGGATCCATGTGAGCTGGAGCTATAAAGGTCCTTTTGCTGGATAGCAACTAGATTTCTCACTGTGAACTGTCCAGTTCCTATCCCTGTAAAGGACCATTGTTAGCTGAAGGTATACAGGTCCCCTAGCAGTAAAAGAAAAAAAAATGTTATCACTAATACAAATGGAAAATCATTACATGGTATAAAATCCTGTTGTATGTGAGAGCATATAGTGGCAACTCTACAATAAAATTTAGTGCAAAGCAGCAAATAGAAGGTAGCAATAAAATACAGGGATACGTGGGCAATATGGATTATTACAAAACAAATAAAACTAGGTGGCAGCCTTGTATCATAAAATTCCTCACATGGGGGAAGGAAGGTAGACTGAACATTACTTTACCAGCAAAAATTATCTCATGAAACTAGAACATGAAATCCAAATATAATAAAAATATAAATAAAAATAAATTAATAAAAAATCCTTTGTAATCAAAATAAAATAAAATAAAATATGAATCTGCAGACTGTCAGTGTATGCCTACAAATAATCAAAGTACATAAATAGCCCAAAAATCAGTACAGCATCATAATAGTCCAAAAGACAAAAACAAAACATTTAACAATAAAACCAATACAACAGTCTCTGGATATTGAAGTTCTTATAGTGCAAGAAAAACTAGATACCAATATCACAGCCAACACACTGTGTTACTACTCTCAAAATGAAACTGACAGTAGCAATAATGTGTTAAGTTGTACAAATAATATAACCAATAATGGTATGTATTAATGAAAGCATGGATAACAAATTGCAGCAGAAAGAACAATTACTCATAGACCACCATTACAGGTATATAGTAATAAGATTTCCTTGGAGGTCTTAAAATGATGATATAAAGCTGACAGTGCTTTTCAGTTCAAATCTTCACATTTATTGAGAATAAAAGTTAAAATACACTCACAGAAATTAAGTGTAATATAACAGCAAATGAGTCCTGTGGCGTCAGCAAGAACGGGTGATGGTTGAGCAGATTGTGGAAGATCTTTCTCCGGCCGATGAGATGATCTCGCTTTGCTGGGAGAAATGGAATCCTCCACGCGTGCGTTCCATGGTTGCTCGGTAGCTGTGGCTGAATCAGTATACGGCTATTGCAATAGCCTCATACTGATTCAGCCAGAGCTACCGAGCAACCGTGGAACGCAGATCGGGCGCATCAACCTACAGAGCAACCATGGAACGCAGATCGGGCGCATCAGTATACGGCTTATTTGTAGGCATACACTGACAGTCTGCAGATTCATATTTTATTTGATTTGGATTACAAAGGATTTTTTATTTATTTTTATATATTATATTTGGATTTCATGTTTATCACTCAGAGCTTTTATGGGGGCTTTTCTTTGCCTTTTCATGTTGCTCACTCAGAGCTTTTATGGGGGCTTTTCTTTACTAGTCGAGACCTTCCAGCTGTTATCCCTACTATTCCTATCCATACTCTCTCCATCTTCTCCACTCTTTAGGGCAAGTGCACCCTGCCCAATACATACAGGTCCCTTAGCCTGTAAGGGACCTGTGTGAGCTGGAGCTATAAAGGTCCTTTTGCTGGATAGGAACTAGATTTCTCACTGTGAGCTGCCTAGTACCTATCCTTGTAAAGGACCATTGTTAGCTGAAGGTATAGAGGTCCCTTAGCAGTATAGGAACTAGGTATTACTATCCCAGTAAGGAACCTGTGTGAGCTGGAGCTATAAAGGTCCTTTTGCCAGATAGGAACTAGATTTCTCACGTCCTACCCTTGTAAAGGACCATTGTTAGCTGAAGGTATATAGGTCCCTTAGCCTGTAAGGGACCTGTGTGAGCTGGAACTATAAAGGTCCTTTTGCTGGATAGGAACTAGGTTACTCACTGTGAACTGTCTAGTTTCTATCCCTGTAAAGGACCATTCTTATCTGAAGGTATACAGGTCCCTTAGCAGTATAAGAACTGGGTATTGTTATCCCTATAAGGGACCTATGTGAACTGGAGCTATAAAGGTCCCTTTACTGGATAGGAACTAGCACGTGAGCTGTGTAGTTTCTATCCCTGTAATTGACCTTTGTTAGCTGAAGGTATACAGGTCCTTTAGCAGTATATGAACTAAGCATTACTATCCCTATAAAAGACCATTATTAACTGGAGGTATACAGATCATTTTGCTGGATAGGAACTAGATTTCTCACTGTGAGCTGTCTAGTTCATATCCCTGTAAAGGACCATTTTTAGCTGAAGGTAACTATAAAGGTCCCTTAGCAGTACAGGAACCAGGTATTACTATCCCTGTAAAGGACCATTGTTAGTTAAAGGTATACAGGTCCCTTAGCAATATAAGAAGTAGGTATTACTATTCCTGCAAGGGACATGTGTGAGTTGGAGCTATAAAGGTCCTTTCGCCGGATAGGAACTAGATTTCTCACCGTGAGCTGTCTAGTTCCTATCCCTGTAAGGCAGGGCTCGACAAATCCCAGGTGCCAGGTCGCCATGGCAAGTAAGAATTTTCCCTTAACGTCTGGAATTGGTCGACCCGTTTCCTCCCTCCTCCCGCAGGGGAATTGCAAGCTTGAAGGGCAGCATTTAAAGACGGTCAGCTTGCCGCCCGCCCAAGTTCAACTGAGCCCGCCCACCCACATTGCGCAAAACTGGTCCGCCTACTGTCCTCAAAGCCGGCGTTATGTCCGGCTGCCCACATCCCACAGAACAGACTCTCCACCCCGCCTCTTTAAGCAGAGTGGGCTGCGCGCCGGGAGGAAGTTATCACAGTTCCCTTCACTTCCTCCTGGCACACAGAGATCTGCACGGGGCTGAGGAGACAGGAGGAGGGGGAGTCTGGAACATCAGCAGCTGCTCCCATCAGCCCCCACTACCTGATTGTCATTTACTCCTGCCCAGTCCCACTGGACCCCCTGAGCCCAAAAGGTAGGAAACAGGAGGGTGGCTAAAAAATATGTATTTTCTTTTTTATTTGTGTGTGTGTATATCTGTTATGCCTGTTTGTCTGTGTGTATCCATTTGAGTGTATCTAATACTTTGTGAGTGTGTTTCAGTGTGTATTTGTCTGTGACTGTGTGACAGTGTGTTTGAGTGTGTCTGTTGGTGTGTGTCTGAGTGTCAGTGTGTGTGTGTATCTGTCTGGTGGGGGTGTGTATCTGTTTGGGGGGGGTGCGGGTGTCTGTCTGTCAGTCTGTTTCTCTGAGGGGGTGTGTTGTGTCTGTCTGGTTGTGTGTGCATTTAGGTCACCAGCCCCCTCTGATCGCATGGGAATGGTGTTCTTACTCACCTTTTTTCCAACGCTATTCTGGTCTTTTGCAGCTGGCCAGCCTCCATGGCTAAGATTACCGATTACCAATCATCGTCTCCTCATAGAGATGTAATAAATCAATGCATCTCTATGGGGAATGTTCAGTGCCTCCATGCAGAGCATGAAGACGCTGAATATTGGTAGGAGACTGTTTGAGTGATGGCCACTAGAGGTGTTACTAGACAGCAATGTAAACACTGCCTTTTTTCTGAAAAGTCAGAGTTTACTTTAAAAAGCCTGCAGGGACAATCTATGGTCACCAGACCACTACATTAAGCTGTAGTAGTTCTGGCGAGCGTAGTGTCCCTTTAAGAATTGTATTTTTGTCATTGGCAAAAACCTGGCTCCTAACTTTTTTAGCTGGCTCCTAGATTGAAAGCAAATTGGTCAAGCACTGCTGTAAGGAACCTATGTGAGCTGGAGCTATGAAGGTCCTTTCGTCAGATAGGAACTAGATTACTCACTGTGAGCTTTATAGTTCCTAGCCCTGTAAGGCACCTGTGTGAGCTGGAGCTATAAAGGTCCTTTTGCCATATAGGAACTAGATTACTCACTGTGAGCTGTCTAGTTCCTATCCCTGTAAGGGACCTGTGTGAGCTGGAGCTATAAATGTCCCTTCGCTGGATAGGAACTAGATCACTCACTGTGAGCCGTCTAGTTCCTATCCCTGTAAGGGACCTGTGTGAGCTGGAGCTATGAAGGTCCTTTCGCCAGATAGGAACTAGATTTCTCACTGTTAGCGGTCTAGTTCCTATCCCTGTAAAGGACCTGTGTAAGCTGGAGCTATGAATGTCTTTTTGCCGGATAGGAACTAGATTTCTTACTGTGAGCTGTCTAGTTCCTATCCATGTAAAGGACCATTGTTAGCTGAAGGTATAGAGGTCCCTTAGCAGTATAGGAACTAGGTATTACTATCCCTGTAAGGGACCTGTGTGAGCTGGAGCTATAAAGGTCCTTTTGCTGCATAGGAACTAGATTTCTCACTGTGAACTGTCTAGTACCTATCCATCTAAAGGTATATAGGTCCATTGTTAGCTAAAGGTATATAGGTCCCTTAGCAGTACATAAACTAGGTATTACTATCCATTTAACCCCTTAGTGACCAGGCCGCTTTTCAATTTTCTTGCCATTGGAACCAGGGCTCTTTTTACATTTGTGTGGTGTTTGTGTTTAGCTGTAATTTTCCTCTTAATCATTTACTGTACCCACACATATTATATACTGTTTTTCTAAAGATACCATTATTTTCATCATCATATAATTTACTATAAAAAACTAAAATATGATGAAAAATTAATAAAAAACACGTTTTCGAACTTTGACCCCCAAAATCTGTTACGCATCTACAACTGCCAAAAAACACCCACACTAAATAGTTTCTAAATTTTGTCCTGAGTTTAGAAATGCCCAATGTTAGCATGTTCTTAGCCTTTTTTGGATAGTTATCGGGCTATAAGCACAAGTAGCACTTTGCTCTTTCCAAACCAATTATTTTCAAAATTAACGCAAGTTACATTGTAACACTGATATCTGTCAGGAATCCCCAAATAAACCTTCACATGTGTATATATATTTTTGAAATATAGCACCAATCTATGCCAAATTTAAAAAAATTACTAATTGGTGATTTTTTTGAGACACATATTACATAGTTACATATTACATAGCTGAAAAGAGACTTGCGTCCATCAAGTTTAGCCTTCCTCACATTTGTTTTTGGCTGTTGATCCAGTTTGAAGCACAATTTTGCAACAAGCTAGGAAACAAATTCCTTCTTGACCCCAGAATGGCAGTCAGATTCATCCTTGGATCAAGCAGTTATTACCCTACATTGAAAGATTATATCCTTGAATATTCTGTTTTTGCAAGTATGCATCTAGTAGCTGTTTGAACATCTGTATGGACTCTGATAAAACCACTTCTTCAGGCAGAGAATTCCACATCCTGATTGTTCTTACAGTAAAAAAACCTTTCCTTTGCCTTAGATGAAATCTTCTTTCTTCCAGTCTAAACGCATGGCCTCGTGTCCTATGTAAAGTCTGGTTTGTGAACAGATTTCTACACAATGGTTTGTATTGGCCCCGAATATATTTGTATAATGTTATTATATCCCCTCTCAGGCGACGTTTTTCTAAACTAAATAGGTTTAAATTTGTTAACTTTTCTTCATAGCTGATATGTTCCTTTCCTTTTATTAATTTTGTAGCCCGCCTCTGCAATTATTCTAGTGCCATAATATCCTTCTTTAGAACAGGTGCCCAAAATTGCACAGCATATTCAATATGTGGTCTTACCAGTGATTTATAAAGAGGCACACTGATATTCTCGTCCCAAGAATGAATGAACTTTTTCATGCATGACAATACCTTACTGGCCTTGGCCACTGCTGATTGACATTGCACATTGTTGCATAGTTTGTTGTCTATACAATTCCCAAGTCCTTTTCATGTATTGTTATCCCTAATTCGCTTCCATTAAGGGTATAAGTTGCTTGTGCATTCTTTACGCCGAAGTGCATAACTTTGCATTTTTCAACATTAAATTTCATCTGCCATTTGAGTGCTCAGTCCCCCAGTCTATCTAAATCCCTCTGCAGCAAAGTAATATCTTGTTCACATTGTATTATTTTACAAAGTTTTGTGTCATCTGCAAACACTGAAACATGACTTTCAATGCTGTCTTCAAGATCATTTATAAACATGTTAAATAGAAGGGGTCCCAGAACAGACCCCTGAGGGACACCACTTGCCACCTCTGTCCAGCTTGAAAATTTACCATTAATGACAACTCTTTGTACTCTGTTTTAAGCCAATGTTCTACCCAAGAACAAGCATTTTCATCTAGACCGATTTCCTTGAGTTTGAACACTA